ATGTACCGCTTTGGTACACTGACGATTTTAAACTAAAGTTCCTTGAGGAATGGCTGGTGCAAGGACACCGACCCTCCTTTGACCCCTGACAACAGGAAATAAATGTCCCACTTGAAGCTATCCTCCCTATACCAGGGGGGTAGAGGCATCCTTATGGCCAGAGACAGGGAATTCAAGGCCAAGAGGGTTGTACGAACAAACCTTGTTACTTCTTCACTAATGTGCTACCCAAGCCCAAACCCCATTGGTTTGTCAATTCTGCACAAGTGTGTTGTTCCTTTGTCTAAAAGGTATAAAAGGGGCGCCTGGGTGGCTCGGTCAGTTAAGCGTCCAACTTCAGCTCAGGTCACGATCTCACGGTCCGTGAGTTCGAGCCCTGCGTCGGGCTCTGGGCTGATGGCTCAGAGCCTGGAGCCTGCTTCTGATTCTGTGTCCCTCTCTCTCTGCCCTTCCCCCGTTCATACTCTGTCTCTCTCTGTCTCAAAAATAAATAAACGTTAAAAAAAAAATAAAAAAAAATAAAAAGGTATAAAAGCTGCCTGCTTTGGTTACTTTTTTGAGCCTCATATCTTTGAGGCTCCCCAATGTACAGAATTTAATGTGCTTTTCTCTCGTGAATCTCTCTTATGTCAACTTAATTATTAGGCCCTAGAAGGGAAGAAGGGAAAAGTTTTCCTCCACCTACTTTGGTGGTATGGATGTCGAGTTAGCTTAGCAATCTAGAGCAGTAGAATGAGTTCCAAGAAAAGTTCAACTTATAGCAGAATATAGCTGAACAAAAGAAAAGGTATTTACGTTTCATTTCTAAGAATACATGTCCCCTTTGAAGATTTACCTCCCTCCTTTTATTAGCTACTCATAAGACATGATTTCAAGTTTTATAGTAGCCAATTAAATGACTTCACTTGCTTCTTTGATCAGGCGTCACAGGCATGACCACATTGACAAGGAGGCCACGGGACTTAGATTTTTTTCAAGACATCTCGATTTTTGCTTACTTTGTTTATACTCCACCCCATTCCACGAAGAATGTAATGTCACTCACAAGAACATACGCAGTCATACCAATAAAACTCAAGCACAGAAATCAGGACCAAGGAAACTCAAGAGCAGATCAAAGAAAACATAAGTACGGAAAACCCAGGAATCCGAGCCAGCAATTGTTTCCCGTTCATCTCTGAACCACCGGAAAGCAGAGCAAAAGAGAAGACGCACTTAGTCACAGAATTCTCATTATTAGAAAAAAAGGAAGCAGACAATTTCCTCAGGAGGGGCTTATATTGTCCTGGCACCAAATTCTCCAAAGAAATTTATTGTTTGGGTCTTTACAGGGAGCCCTGGGTTATACAGTGGACAAAATCCTCGAGGATATACACAAAGTACCAAGCTGTTTGGGACTCATTTCTTTCGCTTTAAACCAAAGCTAAGGAAATAACTCTTAACTGAAATTCGGTGAATGACCTGAATTTGAGTGGTGTGCCAGGCAACAATGTTTTGAAGGAAGTTCGTAGGATTGTCACTTAAAAAAAAAAAGAAATGTGTCCCATACTCAAGTAAGTTTGGGAACCTCTGAGTTAACCAGTCAGGGTTCTTTGTGGCGGAGTTTTTCAGAAGCGAATGTGCATTGTAGCTTAAATCAATCAATCGATCCATGTGGCGGTTTGTTATTTCACCACAGAAGTCTTCTTCTGAGGTTCACCTACGAATAGTCTCTGAATTCTGTGGCACACAGTTTGGAAACAATGAGCCATGATCAACTGATGGAAATACAATAATGAGAGGACCGTGCAGCTGTTTTTGTGGTTAATAGCATTTGCGTGTTACTGGGCAGATTTGGGTACAAATCCGGTCTCTAACACCTACCAGCTGCATGACTTTGAAAAAGTTACCCAAAGTCGCTGGGCTTTAGTTTCCTCATTCATAAAATGAAGTGCATTAATTAGGAAGGCCCTGGCCCCAAGGAACAAAAAAATCTGTCAGAGTTACTTAAGGGATTATTTTCCGGATCTAATAAATCCACAGATGCGCCATTCAGGGCCTGTGAAACTGTTCGTGAATGTCGTCTGGTCCGGGGCCTTTCTGCTTTGCCATCCTTAGCATGGAGGCATCTGTCTTCGTGCTTGCTGTCCCATGGTTGCAAAATGGCTGCTGGAGCCTCATTCCTCACATCAAGTGTTAGTCATGAAAAAGAGGGATGTAAACTACTTCTGAGTAGCCAATCCAGTGTCAGCCATAGGGGTTAGTAAGAGAAACTTCCTCAAAGAAGTATTTTGAGAATTAAGTGAGATACTGAATGAGATAATGAATGTGCTTACGTAGTGCCTAGTATTGGTTAGCGGTCAAAAAACATCAATTATTTTAATATATTGTTATACTATATAAGTATTAATATATATAGACTATATACATATGCCATATAACATATATATATAACATGTAATAATATAAATATTATTTTAATATAATTTTCACGGATAGCCTTCGGTTCAGCATGATACTAGTATTTAGAGTACCTCCAGGAGAATTGTGCGTTCTTCAATGACGAGTAAACGTCCCTTTTCTCAGTGGGGCTTCGCAGAAGCGAAAGATGAGACGTAACACAATCCACTCCTATAAGGCTCTGGAGTACGGGCAGAGAGGAGATGCTCTAGAAAGCGGATAAGCAGGAGGAAAGCTGGCGTCCTAGCAGGAACCTAGCAGGATTCTCCCTGAGGTCAGGCCCATTCCATCTCTAAGTGGAGACCTCCAGGGGGTTCCCAGGCCAGGCCCTGATTGGGAAGCAATTTCAGTAACAGAGCTTAGTCGAGTACCGTGAATTTCTGTATCACAGAATGTAGACAGGGTGATTGGGAGAAGTCTCAATTCTGTAAATATTCTGTCCTGCTCTCAGACCATGGACAGAATGGCTAATTATAGATAGAAATAACATTTTGAAAGACTAACTACCAGATACGTACGGTGAATATTTACCGTGAGTCCAATATTGTCTCATGGTCGTGGGGAGCTGAGTAACACTTTTATGAGTCACTTTGGGAAATACTGGGATAAATGTCATACATATTAGCAGAAATTCATGGCCAGTTAGAAGGAACAGAAGAAACGCATCACCAAAAAAACCCCAACCTTGGAACTAAGTATCATCTCAGGTAACGAAATCCTGGTGATAAGGAGGGCGAGGACACGCACTGTTTTATGTGCTTTGCAGACCATAAATCCCAAATACGTAATTTTCCCCATATTTTTAGTATCGATAGCTCACTTGGAGTGACTGCTTTGGGTCCAGCACCAGCACTGGTGAGATCCTCACAGATCTCTTACGTAGATGTGCCCTACTATGATTCTAATTCCAGAGATGAGACCCCTGAGGCTTAGCATGAAAGCTACGTGGCTAGTAACCGGGGAGCTGGGATTTGATAGACATCCGTCCTGCTGAGTTCAAGCGCTTAGACTGCGCTCTATGACATAAAACATATCCTTGTATGTACATAGCTTTTGTAAGAACACTTCACCTCTTTTCTCTTAAGAAAAAATATGAACTGGGGACTTCTTTGTTAGGAGTTGAGCATTGCTCTGCTGAGAGACAAAGTCTGGACTGAATGACCCAGATTCTCTCGGGGCCACGTGATTTTTTTTTGTTTTCATCGCAGTAACGGACACCCATATCCTCTCACAAGGAGAAGGGGGAGCAATGAACTGAGAGACTGAGTCATTCCCTGGGCCGGGTGACTCCCCGCTCTTTGGCGTCGAGAGGAAAAAGATCTGAGCCAGAATCACCAAATCGTTTGACCGTCTCCTCAGTCGACTTCCAACAGTTCCCACAAGGTTATTCAAAACCAACTGGCCGGGCTGTGTTCCACATCACCCGATTTATAACTGAATAAAGTTATCTTATGCTACTGGGTGTTTTCAAGTATTGTTTTGCTCTTTTTTTTTTTTTTCAACGTTTATTTATTTTTGGGACAGAGAGAGACAGAGCATGAATGGGGGAGGGGCAGAGAGAGAGGGAGACACAGAATCGGAAACAGGCTCCAGGCTCCGAGCCATCAGCCCAGAGCCCGACATGGGACTCGAACTCACGGACCGCGAGATCGTGACCCGCTGAAGTCGGACGCTTAACCGACTGCGCCACCCAGGCGCCCCTGTTTTGCTCTTTAATGTTGGGAACTCCCCACCGATTAGCCGCCACTGGAGAGCAAGCAAATAGAGTTGAGTGGGGCGGAAAATCCAAGTAATTCTTGATATCTAAAAATACCTCGGAAAAAGTTTGTCAGGTGTTTAGTTTAAAAAGATAAATTCTGCCGTATGGTGCTGCAAGATTTAGTTGAAAAACAACAACAGAATATTCTGAGAGCTGTGATTTGTAACCCTTGTGTGATTATCCATCGCAGAGTGAAATCGGGTTGGACTCAGCCTCCCTTTATCTGCCTGGATCCTTACCAATGTGCTCTCTTCCATTCTCGACAGAAGGTCAATGGGATATGCCCCCTTTTCTGTAAAGTATTATCACTTGAATCGGTTACAAATGATTACATATAAAAGGGAAGAAGGGCATACATATTTATAACATATTCCTTCGCGCGCCAGGTAACTTCACATGTTATGCATGCTAGTTATCTCATTTAATCTTTAATGCGAGCCTGTTAAGCTCTACTTCATCTTCCTTGAGAAAGGAGAAAATTGAGGCTTAAAATCACCAACTAAACCACATTAAGTCACACAACCAGTAAATGCAGACCCAGGGTTTGAGCCAAAGTCTGTCCAGCTCCACAGCCTGTGTCCTTTCCCCTTCATGAACAGTTCTCAACCCGGGCTACAGACCAGCGTCACCTGGGGAGCTTTTTCAGATAGACCCACGCACTGGAGCACCTGGGTGGCTCAGTCGGTTAAGCATCCTTGATTTCAGCTCAGGTCATGATCTCTAGGGTTCGTGAGTTCGAGCCCCGCGTTGGGCTCCGCACTGATGGTGCGGAGCCCGCTTGGGATGCTGTCTCCCTCTCTCTCTCTCTGTCTCTCTCAAAATGAATAAATAAACAAAAAATATATATATACCAACACCTTGGTCCCACTCCCACTCGAATTATTACAGATCCAGATCTTATGTATGACTAGTGTGTGACACGCTCCTTAAGTATGACAAAAAACTTACCTTGACATACCAAAAGAGCTTTACTTTCAAATTTATTTGCTGCCATTAGAAATGTAATTAGCGTTGTTTTCTCCAACTTGAGCCCAGGGGAGGAAAATGAGCCCAGAGTCTCAGGCTACTTCCTCCAGTTTGCCGCTGTGGTAAAAGGAGAACCTGGCAGGAGAAAAAGAAAATTTTAGGCGTTTTGCGCAATTCCTGGAGCCCTATTGCTTCTGCTGACTGCTGCCCAGTATGGTCCAGCGAACCGATTCTCAAGCACCAGGGGCAAACACATCCCGAAACTGCCGCCAGCCAGACGTTGCTTCCCAGTGAAAAGTAGAAAGCGTCTTCAGCCCTGCGTTTCAACACCCATATTTCTGAAAGACTTCATAAAAGCTATGGAAGTGATGTCCCAGCTCGTACCTAGAACTTACCAAGACGGAAGCAAGAGCTAACAAGTTCTACCAACTTTCCATTCATAGGGTTGAAGGCTGGTTGCCAAAAATCCATCATGCCCCTCACGAGTCCTCGGTGGTAGGAAGACCTGACGTTTCTCATCTGTCATCTTTCTCTTTCAGGATCTTCCAGAGGTGTCAGAGCTCCGTCCGTAGCACGGAGACACCAGGCAATGAGTGCTTAGAAGAGGAATTACTAGGCGGAAGAGGGAAGAGAAAAGACCATCTGAAAGAATAGAGAACAGCCTGGAAGCACCCTGGTTCCCTTGTCTGCAGGGCTTCCAACTTAGGCCTTCTATAAACCAAAGGAGTAATTCCACGTGAACTCAGACGAGCCCGTCCTGCCTCAATTTTGCCCTGATTGCAATGGCAAGCATACCTTTAATGGAATTTGAAGGCCTTTTCCGCAAAGACAGGAAAATATAAAGTCTGCTCTTTACCTCCTCGCTTTTTGGACACAAATGTGAAAACATTTTCGCATCGTATCATTTATTTCTATCTTATGGTAAAAACATCTCTCTTAGGGGGTTATTACGTTACATTTCCAGGAAGGTAACTTCATAATCTGTCCACTAAATCTCAAGAATGTTTAGCTTCTCTTTCTCTTCCCTAAATTCTGTACAATCACAGCATGGTGCTCCTCTCAAGGGGACTCCATACAGCCTCATCCTGTGCTTTGAGTTTCCCTGCATTATCTTGTTCAAATAGTCCGGGGCAAGCTGAGGTTAGCGGATAAAAAAGTAGACCAGGAACAGGCCTTGGCTTCTTTCTGACGCCCCTTTTCAAAGGCAGGACTTCAGAGAGGCACTTTGTGTTCAGACCTCAAAAGGACCATTCTTTCTTGAGTTGTCACCTGAAATAGCTTACCTTTCTTAGTACAATAATTCCTCTAGGTCTAATTGTCTCCGGGCCAAATAACCCTCGTTCCTCTGACGTCTAGGTCTTCCGGCCAAGGGGCAAGTTCCCACAGCTCAGTGTCGCTAGTTCCAGTACCTAGGACAGACACCTGCACCACGGTTGGCCATTTGCAGGCCTTCGGGTAGCTGTCTGATCTTTGCCTAGAAAGTAATAGCACAGGCCAGCTGATATCAGAGAGTCCTGGGTTTAAAAACCGGCTTAAGAACTTCTAATTGTACAACCTTCCCCAAGTTGCACAACAAATCTTAAAATAAGTTTCCTCATCTATAAAACGGAGATGCTAATAATATCCCGCAATATCTCTGACAATGGGAGAATGTCTATATACCGCATAGCACTTAGTAGGCATTTGGAAGTACTAATTCTTTGCTCCTTTTTCTAAGCTACTATGGCTGGGTTTATATATCTAAATGTTAGGATTTTACAAAGACTAAAATAGAATCTTTTAAGGAGTTTCATTATAGTCAGCAATAACATTATAGTCAGCAATAACAAAGTCCTTATACTTGTGTTTATTTATCATCTGATTTCTTATTATGTGTCTATCATATTATATTTTAGCTGTCTGATTAGGCTATGAGATCATGCAGAGTTGGATCTCTGTTTAAAATTCTCTCTATACCCACAGGACTTAAAAGCACTCAGTAAATGCTTGATAGATGACAACTGAATTCATGAGTTCCTCAGTAAGCATTTAGGCCATGGACTTTGCTAATGCCTACGTCCCATGAGTGCTTTCAAGCGAATAAACATTTGCTGAGCATATGGAATGCTCAACATAGTATCTCCTAAGGAGCCGAGGCCCTTACAAGAAAGTGAAGTATCCTAATCACTTTACAGTCAAGCATAAGAACATCTATAACAAGGATAAAGCGTGCCAGAAGCTAGAGAGAGCATGCTGGGGCATTCAGGGGAAAAGTGATTACATTTGGTTAAGAGGATTAAGAAATCTTCATTGAAGAATGAGTTATCACTGGAAGTGAACCTCGGAAGATGAGTAAGATTCCAACAGCAGTGGAGAGAAGATGCTCCAGGGGAAGTTTGAGCCAAAGGCAGAATGTGAGACGGGCGTTCAGAGGGCTGCAAGTAGCCTGGTTTGAAGCACAAAATATGTGCAAGTCGGTTAGAGCTGCAAAGACAAGGAAGGCTTTGAAAGCTAGCCAGACTCAAAAATTGTTTCCTTTTTTTTTTTTTTTAATGTTTATCTATTTTTGAGAGGGGGGGGGGCAGGGGAAGGGCAGCAGAGAGGGAGACACAGAACCCAAACCAGGCTCCAGGCTCTGAGCTGTGAGCACAGAGCCCAACGTGGGCCCAAACTCACAAACTGTCAGATCGTGACCTGAGCCGAAGTCGGACCCCCAACCGACTGAGCCACCCAGGCGCCTCTGAAAATTGGTTCTTGAGTCAGGCAATGAGAGGTCCTGAAAATTTAGAGCAGAGAAGTTTTAGATTTATAGTAGTTTCCCCTTATCCCTGGGAGATAATGGATGCCTGACACCGTGGAAAGTACGAACCCTATATACACTAGGGTTTTTCCTATACATATGTACCTATGAGATGTTTAATTTATAAATTAGGTACGGTAAGAAATTAACAATAAGGAGAAAATAGAATAACTATAATAATGTACTGTAATAAAAGTTATATGAACGTGGTCTCCCTCTCAGAATACCTTACTGTACAATTCACCGTCCTCCTTGTGATGATGTGAGATGGTAAAATGCCCCCATGATGAGATGAATACATGTGAATGACAAATGGCTCAGGCACTGTGACTTAGCGTTAGGCTCCTACTAACGTTCTGAGGGTTTGTCAAAAGGATTATCTGCTTCCAGACCGCAGCTGACTGTGGATAACTGAACTGGTGGAAAGTGAAACCACAGATAAGGGAAGACTACTGTAATTAAGGTTGGTTGAGTGTCTTCATTTTACAGATTAGGCAGGTGAGTTTCAGAGAGATTAAATGACTTGCCCAGATTGCCGAGTGGCAGGCAAGGAAATCTACAGAGGTCCCTTGACATTCCCACCACACCGGAGCCATTGCTTCGGAAGAGCTGCTGTGCAGCAGGGTAGGCTGGGCTGGAGGGAGGGGGACCGAAGCCAGGGAAGCCAGCCGAGAGGAAATGACTGCCGTTTCCTTTACATTCCTGCAGTGAATCCCTGCCCCACACAGTGTGATCTCAAACATAAGATGGTCTCCTATTTTCCCAGAGAAGATGCAAAAAGGTTTTGCGAATCTGAACGTAGAAACTGACTAAAGATGGTAGACGGAGCCAGATTTTTTTTTTTTAATGTTTATTTATTTTTGAGACAGAGATAGACAGAGCATGAGTGGGGGAGGGTCAGAGAGAGAGGGAGACACAGAATCCGAAGCAGGCTCTGGGCTCTGAGCTGGCGGCACAGAGCCTGACGCGGGGCTCGAACTCACGGACAGACCATGAGATCATGACCTGAGCTGAAGTGGGATGCTCAGCTGACTGAGCCACCCAGGCGCCCCCAGATTTTGAAGCAAATATTCAGTAAGCCAGTCTTACTGAGTCTGGACCTTGAGGGGAGTGAGTGCTATGATCAGATTTGCATTTTAGAAAGGGAATTTTGTCAGCAGTTGTGGAGTCTGGATTCAAGGGGTAAACTGGGAGGCAGAGAGGTCTGCAGAAATCCAAGAGGCGTGGTGGCTCGGGCGAGGTTGGTGGCTGGCAGGAACGGGTGGAAAAGACAGGCGGGAGAGACAGTTGCCAAGCGTTTGAGACACGGTTCCTTTACAGAGGGGGAGGGGAGAGTCAAAGGTGACTCCAGAGTTTCTGTTTTGAGCAGTTGGGTGGATAGGAGGGCCACTGACTGAGCTGCAAGGCACATTGATGAGGACACATTTACAAAGCTCGGAAGTGGCATTAGGAAGGGAAAGATAAAGGCAAAGGATAGGAGAGAAAGGACGTGACCAAAACATAAGCAGAAGAGTCAGGAGTGGCTGAGTTGGGGAAGAGGCTGAGCTCTGGGAAACTTTATTCGTCCCATGCCTTTCCCACCAGCTTACATTTCCAAATTGTCCGGAGGCTTAATCGCGCGGTACCATTCAGAAAGAGTCTCTTTCCTGCTCTGATTATTCCAGGAGGAACAGGAAAACATGGTAATTACCACTCGTAATTTCCTCTCAGGAAAAGCTAAAAGTCCTGCAAAATGAGCGTAGTATTTCGTTGACATAGAACAAAAATGGAACAGACTGGAAACAATCTTCCTTCGAAGACAAGCATAAACAAAGTCACTGACCACAACCACTGCTGTCTCAACTGCTGTTGCCAAAGGAGAAAATGGCCAGAAGATCATTGGTCTAGGAATAGGGTGATCAAGCTGTCCTGGGTTGCCTGGGACTTCCATGGTCTTATCAGGGAGAGTCTCACATCCCAGAATCCTTCAGTGTCACCCTATCCGGAAATTAGACTTAGATCCTAATCCCGATTCTATTACTGATTGGTTGTGAAAACCTGGAACACGGCTTTTCCGAGCAGAGTTTTCTCATCCGTAAAACGAGAGGAAGGGCTTCCCTTTTTACATTTTCCCTGAGGGGAGTTCATTCAGTCCCATGAATTGAAATATCAGGTGATATTGTGATTTATAATATGAACTATACATTTGGTTTCTGTACAAAGCTCCTAAAACCCTTGGAATTTAAGTGCTGCAAGCCCTAAAGGTGTCTTCTGTTATGTTAATGCGGTGACTTTTGGAAAGTCCTTAGGTAGCTTAAAAATGGGGGCTGGTTGCCAGAGAAACCAACCACGTGATCAGAGGGTTGGAGTCTCACCTCCACACCCCTCACCCCTACCTCTGGGAAGGGTGAGGAGCTGGAGATTGAGTTCAATCACCAATGGCCAATAATTTAAAGGATCATGCCTATGTAATGAACCCTCCATAAGAACCCAAAGGACAGGTTTAGGGAGCTTCCAGGTTGGTAAAAATGTGGAGATTTGGGGAGAGTGGCACACTTGAAGAGGCATGGGGGCTCTCTGCCCTTTCCCCATACCTTGACCTATGTATTTCTTCCACCTGGATCTTCCTGGTTGCTAATAAGCCAGTAATATAGTAAGATGTTTCCCTGAGTTCTGTGAGCTGTTCTAGCAAGTGAATGGAACCCAAGGACTGGGTCACAGGAACCACTGGTCTATATAGCACAGGTGACAACCTGGACTCTTGATTAGCATCTGAAGTGGGGGGGGGGGCAGTCTTGTGGGACTGAATTTACCTAAATTCTTCAGGTGGATAGCGTCAGAATTGGTTTGTGGGATGCCCAACTGGTGTCGAAGACTTGCGTGGTGGTATGAAAAAACCCCCCACATATTGGATCCAATGACTCCAAATTTTGTATCTCCAGGTCTGACCATCCCCTCTCACCCTCAAGCTACACCCTTGAATTTCCAACCACCTACTCAGCACCTTCACCGTCCAGTAGCCCGAAGACACCCTCGAGGCTCAAACAGAACTCTTGAGTTTCTCCCCAAACCTGTTCTCCCCAGGTTTCTTCCGTAGCTTCTCTTAGTAAATGACACCACCAGCCAGCCAATTGCTTGAGCCAAAAACCTAGGAATCATCTTTGATTTCCTTACTTGTCCTCTGTCTCGATTCTAGGCCAAAAAGCAAGTTCTGTGAGCTCAACCTCTAAAACGTATCCCCAATACATCTACTTCTCCAAACAGTGGCCAGAGGACCTTATAAGAAGAAAACCCCAGCTCCTTGCTACGGCCCAGGAGGCCCTCTGGATCCAGCCTCTGCTTTGCTGTCCCATCTCACCCAGCCCCTCACCCCTCTCTCCCTCGGGTCCAGCCACACCTGCCCTTCCCGATCCCTAGCTGCAGAGACTTCGCACTCCTTTGTCACTAGGCCCGGACTCCTGTCTGCCCGGATGGCAGTTTTGTGCAGCTGGCTCCTTCTAGTCACTCCGGTCTTGGCTCAAAAGTCCCCCCTACACAGGCCTGCTCTGACCACCCACCCTGTGCCCAGGCCGATGCTGCCCAGGAGAGCATGAGCTGGGCCCGAGCCATGTGGACCCCTGCCCGGGAGGACAGCTTGGCGGGGAGAAGGGCTTCCATACAGTGAGACTGTATGGAGTGGATCACCCCCCCCCCCCCAATCAGGACAGGGCA